GTGAAATTGAAGAATTAGAATTGATCTTCTAAAATTAATGTCATGTGTTGTAATTGTTCAAAATTAGGGTCATATAGACATAAATTGTACTAGACTTTATTACATGTGATGGATCATGATTAAGTAAAGTTGATATTGAACCTTTGTGATAATATGACTAGAATTGCTTAAAGATGAATCTAGTGACTTGAATTTCTTGTTATCTAGATATGAATAAGGATAGAATGAAGTAAAGCTTTGATTGTAAGGCTTGTAGTCACTAGAGCATTGAGAGTAAGGCTAATGTGATGAATAGAAGTCTAATAGGTAGAATTGTGGTGAAAGACTTATACTCACCTAACCTACATTATAAGTGCTTGAAAGTATAAAGTTATAGAATTACTTGAACATGGATTGATTGTCAAGGACATCCTTCCATGAGACATGAGTATTAAGCAAGGCTTAATAGTAAATCTTGGGGTGTATTCTTGGCCTCAAGTGGATATTGACAATGAGATGGAGTGTCACACAAGAGAGGGTCCGGGCCCTAAGTTGAAAAGAGAACCACACCTAGTTGATATGAGGACTATCCATGTTAAAGGGGGAACTCTTACGTAGTAGAGTGTGGGTTTTCCCAAAGTTAGGTCCGATGAGATAGAAGTCTTCACATTGTTGAGTTAAGATTTCTAGTAGCAATCTTTATATCAAATGAACTAAGACAGGCTTGAAGAAGCATCTCATAGTGTTCAAAAACATAAATGAACTAAGATTTACTTAATGAAGTACCTCATAGTGTTCAAGAGTATAAATGGACTTAGACATGCTTAAGGAAGTATCTCATAGGGTCAATGTTAGTAATGAACTTAGACATACTTAAAGAAGTGTCTCATAGGGTTCAACCTAATAATGAACTAAGATATGCTTAAGGGAGTACCTCATAGTGTTATAAAGTTAAAGAGAGGAACTAGGTTCCAAACCAAGAAGTATTAGTATGAGAACCTAAAAGTGGTACTTAGCATGAATAGTATTATGGGATGGTATTGATGCATTGCACAAGTATGACTTAAGGTTATTCAAGAAAATGTTCCTTTGTGTATCTTGAGATAGGACTGTGCTATAGTTGCCTTCCTTGTTAGTATTGACCAAAGGTGAGAAATTCCCTTGGTTATGAGAGTTAAGCTAAAGGATGATATCCTAAGGTGATTAGTCTGATGGTCTAAGGTGGTACTTAGTGTGAGTATGATTATGGGGTCTTACTCATACATTGCACAAGTATGACTTGAAGCTACTTATGAGAGTCTAAAGCTTGACTAGTAATATTGACTATGTTTAAAATGACCAAAAGGGATATTTAGCTTGGATGGTATTATGGGATGCCATTCATGCATTGCACAAGTATTCTTTGAGGTTACTTGAGAGTGGTTTTATTATGATATGAATGACTAAGAGTTGAGTAATGCTTATATGATGCTTATGTTGAAGACTTTTCTTGTTTTGATGATATTGTCTATTATGCTTATAATTGTTGTTTCATGAAGTATTGGGTTATGTCTTATGTTGACTAACCCTTATCTTATGCTCTTATGATTATGCTAGCTAACATTCTTAGTACATTTTATACTAACGCATACTTTGCCTACATTCTAATCAAATGTAGGGTTTCAGAGATAGAGTTCCATTCTTAGAGGATAGGTTTCTAAGGACCAAAGGAGTTGAAGATTTGGTGAGTCCTCATAGCTTCGAGGACTAACCCATTATTTCCTTTATGTCTTTTATTTTCATGTTGAGACTATTGTATGGGCTTTGTCCCAAGATTTTTATTCTAAAGTTGTATTAGATGGTTTGAGAAAAAAGTGTAGTAAAGACTTCCGCTTGCATTTAATAAAGACTTCGATTGTATAAAGAAAAGTTTTTAAATTTTCCATAATTTTCTATTATCTTATGTTCATGATATGCTAAGGGATTGTATGAGCCCTTTCAGAGTCTTGTACGTCTTGTTACGTCTAGGGGGTACTCCTGGGTCGTAACAATGATACAATATTTTTATTTGACACTAATTATGTGTTTGCCCCAATAAAATATGAAATCACATGCATGTTTTAATTGATATTGATATTTATAGTTAATTCAAATATATTTTATATGATTAACTAATTTTACGTAATCGGCGCTTCTAAATTTTTTTAGTTGAAAGTGCTTAATCGAAACACTTTAACATGTGTTAGATGCTTAATTAAATCACACCATGATTTGAATGTTAAAATAAAATCTATTAGCAAGTCTAAGGTGTACTGATGTATTCAGTAAGATATGATACCATAAATTAAATTAATATATTTTGGTTACGACCATACTAGTGTTTGTGAAATGAAATACAATGATAGTTTGTATTAATAAATCACTGCATTATATTACAAAAATAGTACATAATATTATTCAATAGCCCTGAAAACACTATATAATACATATATAATAGTCCAGAAACAAAAAAACATGAGATTATTTTTGATCATGTAGTTCCACCAACTTAAATTAATACTCTTGCACTTCTACTTGTTTGTGTAAATTTACAAAGTGAGCCTGAGAGTCCCCAAACACTTTAGTAGAGCTTCAAACGAGGTAACTAATCCCTCATGAAGTGGTCAAAGAAACTTTCGAAACCCCGGATGTAGATATGAATCATCGCATTCAACATCTCTCGTTAGAATTTCTGGACTTTTACTTATTTGTGTATATTTGAAATTGAACCTGAGAGTTCAGCCAAACACTTCAATAGGACATCAAAAAATGAAGTAATTAATCCTCACAAAGTGGTTAATTAAGGAAACTCTCGGGATAACCTTGATAGATTTAGAGACATACAAAATTGCATTCATCATTTCCAGTACTTTCCAGTTTGTACTCTAGCACTTCTACATATTTGTGTAAATATCAAAGTGAACCCAGGAGTTCCCCCAAACACTTCAGTAGGACATTAAAAATGAAGTAATTAATTCCTAATGAAGTGGTCAAGGGAACTCTAGGGATCACCTTGATATATAGATGTAGACATGAATCATTGCATTCATCATTTCCCATACTTTTCAGCTCGTACTCTTGCATTTCTACTTGTTTGTGTAAATTTCAAAGTGAACCTGGGAGTTCCCTCAAACACTTAAGTAGGGCATTAAAAATGAAGTAATAAAGCCTTTATGAAGTGGTCAAGAATAGTCTCGGTAATACCTTGATAGATGTAAACATGACTCATCACATTCATCATGTACTCTTGCACTTCTACTTGTGTTAATTTCAAAGTGAACCCGGGAGTTCCCCCAAACACTTCAGGAGGGCACAAAAAATGAAGTTATTAAACCATCATGAAGTGGTCAAGGGAACTCTTGGGATCACCTTGATAGATGTAGACATGAATCATCGCATTCATCATGTACTCTTGCACTTCTACTTGTGTAAATTTCAAAGTGAACCCGGGAGTTCCCCCAAACACTTCAGGAGGGCACAAAAAATGAAGTTATTAAACCATCATGAAGTGGTCAAGGGAACTCTTGGGATCACCTTGATAGATGTAGACATGAATCATCGCATTCATCATGTACTCTTGCACTTCTACTTGTGTAAATTTCAAAGTGAACCCGGGAGTTCCCCCAAACACTTCAGGAGGG